TGCACACCGGCAGGCCCCGGGAGGGTGGGAAGGAGCACTGTGCTTCGAGCACCATCCTGGGCACCGTAGCTCCAGTTGCCGAGGGTGGTGGGGCGGGGGGTCTCCTCTCAGCAAGGCATGTTTCCAAGACACACACACACAGGCCAAGCAGCGGGCACTGCAGCCGGACAGGAGCCCGTAGCTGCCCAAGGCCCCCCACCCCCCTGGGCACAGGAAGTAGACAGAAAGAGCCTGGGCAGGGGGCACCCGGGGGCAGTCGAGGAAGCCTGCGGGCACAGTCAGGGGTGAAGCAGAGACGGGAGGAGGAACAGGCCCCGCTGCTGGCGACACCCACAGCCCGGAACATTCTTCTAGGAAGGCCAGAACGAACCTTGGCTTTCACACACGTCATTTCTCAGACCCTGGTGTGGCAGGAATAACTGCCCCAACTCATCCATCGGTGTGTGCATGAGTGTGTGTGTATGTGTGTGTGAGAGCACACATGGGCTACACTCACGTGCACAGACACACACATGCAGGCACACAGTGCCTACGTGCTGCACCCTGTGAAAACACCACAAACACACCCCAGGCACACATAGGCGCCACGCACACACGTATGTGCGGACACCACACGCACCCAGCATACAAGCACGAACACACGGTGCACACACACCACATGCACGTGTGCACAGATGAACACGTGCACACGCATGGTGCACATGCTGTACACACACACACGCTACACACGTACACGTCTGCCGACACCGCGTTCACACTGCACCAACTGCACGCGTGTACACACGCCCCATAGGCACACATCATGCATGCGTACACCATGCGCACACGCCAAGCACCGCACACCCTGCACACACGTGCCACGCACTCACAGGTGTGCAGACACCTTGCACACTCCACAAGCTCCCCCCCCCACACCCCCCTGCGGCCGCCGCGTCCAGTCGCTCACACACGCAAGCACTCACGCCGAGGCTCCCCTCCAGCTGGTCTCCGGCCAAGTTCCCTGGGTTTCCTGTTTTTATTTCCCACATAATCCAGGCTGGTTTCCTCCTGGTGGGAGCTGTGAGCGCCCCCCACCCCACCCCCCCACGGCCCGTTATCAGGACATCAGAACAACAGTTTGTACCCAGGGCATAAGAATTCTGAAAGACAGGCTCAGCTGGCAGCCGAAGCCCAAGTCGCTGCGTCCAGGAAGAAACCACTTGGCCTGTCACCGTCTCCTCCCCAGGACACCGTGGGCAGCCGTGCACACCCAGTCAGGGGCCACCGTCAGCCACGAGGACGTGGACTGCACAGAGGGTGGCCGGGCCACCCTGTCGGAGAAGGGAGAGCAGAGCAGGGTGGCGGTTCTGAGAGTCACACGGCTTCACGGAACGGGCGTGGCGGGGAGAAGGGCAGCTGGCCAGGGGCCGGCCAGAAGGGGAGGGCGAGCAGGCCCCCCTCAAAGGCCCGGCCGGTCGCTGGGAAGGAAGGCCAGGCACGAGAAAGAGCCCAGGACGGGTTTCAGAAGTGACGAGCCTCAAAAAAATCCGACCATGAGTCTAGGATGAGGTGTTTCGTGAGGCACGCGGACGAATGGACACCAGGAGTTGGGGGCCCACACCCTGCCCCCGCCCAGGACACGCAGACTCCCGCCCCAGCACAAAGGCCCAACTCTCAATGACGGATCACGTGATAGCGGGATTCTGTCAAGTCCGAATGCACACGGCTGACCCGGGTTCGATTCCCAGAGTCCCATAGGCTCCCCCGAGCACTGCCAGGAGTAACTCCTGAGTGCATGAGCCAGGAGGAACCCCTGAGATCGCCAGGTGTGATGCAGAAAACCAAAGACAAGGCCCCCTGGAGTTCACGCCCTCGTGGGCCCCTCCCAGTGCCCCCCAGTCGGGTCACAGGCAGACACAGGCAGTTCCCCAGGAAGCGTCCCTCACCTGCAGTTCTCGGTCTGGGACAAATGCCATGTTGGGGGCGTCAGGGGAGGGCGTTAAGTCCGCGCGGGACAGTCACTACAGCGGAACGTCACACAGAACCACCCTCGGCCACCAGACCCACCTTCCAGGTCCCCGCGCAGAGGACATGGGCTTTGTCTCCTTCTAGAGTTGAGTCGAAACCCACCAGAGGCTGGAGCGGGTCCAGTGGGAAGGGCGCTTGCCCCCCACGCAGCCAAACCGTGACCAACACGTCCCCGCGTCGCTGTGTGCCGTGTGGGTCCCTCTGAGGGGCCCTGCTGTCTGCGGCTGGGCCCATGGGTCTGCGAGAGCCGTGGCGACGGTGAAGCGTGTCCACGCCCTCACCTCTCCCAGCCCCCCCAGGGCACCCTGACCCCCCGCACCCCCAACCCGGGCCTTTCAGACCCCCGCAAGCTCCACCAGCCACAGGGCCCCATGCATCCCGTGGCCGGACATCTGCATCCCACAGGGCAGAGTCCCTGGAAATCCCAGTCCATGGGAACCGGGGGGGACGCGCAGGCCTTGGGGAGACCCAGAAGCCTCCCGCATTCGCCAGAACGGTCGCAGCCCGCGGCCTTGCACAAACACCACAGCGCCCTCGTGCCGGGGCCGGGAGGCTCGCTGGCTCCTGACGCAGAGTCACAGGCTCTTCTGGTCAGTGGCTCCAGCCCAGCCCAACCCCAGAAGCCCGAAAGCAGCACAGCAGCCTCCAGGGCAGGGGCGTCCACCCCCAGTCCCTGCCAGGTTCCAGAACAGCTTGGCCGGGGGCCTATCCCCCAGCTGCTCCTGGGCACCAGCTTGTCCTCACTCAGGCTGGGTGGCGCCTCTCCTGGCAAGGCTCAGGGGACCACATGGGGGAGTCCGGGTCCCCACTGAGGCCGGCTGCACGTGACACAGAGCCCCCCTGGGCCGCACCTCTGCTGAGTGCAGGGCCTGCACGTCCGGCCGCTCTGGGGGGGCCGAGCTGTAGCCACACCTGCAGTGAACAGGGCCGCGCCGTCACGTTTGTCTCCGGCAAGGAAAACCCCCAGACCCCGGCTTCTCACAGGACCCGGCCAACTGCAGGCGGCTTGATTCAGACAAACAAAACATTGCAGGCGACCCGCGAGCCCAGAGTGACCTCCGCCGACCCCGCCTTGGGACCATGCCGGGAATCTCAGACAGTCCCCTTTGGGGCCAGGAGGCCTAGCCCGTGGCCACTCACTCCTCAGGGGCGCAGTCAGGACCCCAAGAGCCGGGTCTAGCAGGACCAGCCGCTGCCCCTCACTCCAGGTGTCCACACAGGAGCCCCCTGCACCCCCCCCCCCCCCCGACCCAACACGCGCTTGTCCAACACGTGCACGGACGTCATGGCCGACGGGCTGTGGGGGACACACTTCAGCCGCCCCTGCTGCTGTCCGGCTCCGGTGGAGAAGGACACAGGGTGTGGGCGGGCGCCGCCCGAGTGTGTCCCAGACCGCCGGGACCACGTGGGCGTGGGAAACGTGAGAGAGGCACAAAGCCACAGTCCCAAGTGCTGTCTTGCCACACGCGCTGACTCTGAACGCGCAAGAGGGCCAGGGAGGGGCCTGACACGTGCGCCCAGCCCCAACGCAGCCACACCCGGTCTCCTGAGCACCGAGTCAGGAGCGCACTAAGGCCCGGCCAGCGGGCATCCCTCCATCTCCCCAAACAGGCAAGGGAGGGCAAGCATTTCCCGGGCTGTTAGGACTTGACATCCGATGTCCCACCTGGGTGGCAACGATTTGGGGAAAACAAGGAGGCCAAGAGGGGCTGGAGGAGCCGACTGATGACTTGGGGGGCCAGGCAGGGCCCGCAGGGGACGCAGGTGGCCACACCAGTGGTGTCCTGCTGGCCGAGCCCAGGGCACGGGCGGGTGGAGACTGCGGGTCGGCTGTGCTGGGGGCCGGGGGCAGCGTCACACAGCAGAGCCGTGGACCCCCGCGGTGCTCACGCACCAGGGTGACACGGCCGCGGGGGTGGGGTGGGTGAGCGTGCAGTTCCCAGGGCAGCGTCCATCACTGAGCCACCCAGCCCGGCTGCCCCACACTGGGCAAAAGCTCCGCTTCCCCGACGGCCCGACTCAAGGACCGATAAGGGCTGCGGGCGGCTCTGCAGGGATGAGGCTTGAGGGAGCGTCTCTAAAATCGTTATTACTGTTTGGGGGCCGGGGAGCTGGGGTCCGGCTGCAATGCCCAACCAGCGTCGGCCAAGAGGCTAAACACCACAGAGTCCCAACGCCAGCACCTTCCAGGACGGCGGCCTGGTGGGCACTGGGGTAGCTGCAGACTCGAAGGCTGCTGGTACCTACTCACACCTCCCCCGCCACGCCATGCTCAGACGTCACGGCCGACACAGCCCCGTGAGCCCGTGAGCCCAAATCCAACCCTGCTCAGCCAGGCCGCCCGCCCTTACGCGTCCTGGGATGGTCCAGCCGCTGCCCGCTCTCCTTTCCCAGGGGCTGGTGCTCAGAGGGCAGACGGGCTGCCCGGGGCACCTTCCCCAGGCTCGCCCAGAGGACACCACATTTTCAGGGTGCTGCTTGGGAATGCAGGCCCGCACTGGCCACGTGAGACCCGTGATGGACAGGAGCACTGCATCACGGGTCCTCTGGCTCTCCTGAGGGTTTCGGGCTGAGTGCGCAAAGGCTAAGAGCCAGATAACCGCGGGTTCCAGTGGCTGATGGCCCCCCAACGTGACCAGGCTGCACGGCAGAGCTGGCTGCGACCCCACGGCCTGGGCCCTCCCCTCCCACCTTCAGGGTACGACGTGCATGCACGGACACACACACGCACACACACTTCACACGCACATGGACACACACACACGCACACACACACACACACACACGTGTGCACACACACAGCTGTCACACGCACAAGGCTCTAATTAGCGGATTCTCTTCTCCGTGCAGCCGCACCCCGAGGTGACCCAAGCGGAAGGAAGGGGCCTGCTGAGGACGGCTGCTGGCATCAGGCCACACTCGTGGAGCCGCCCACGTGGCAGCGCGACTGGGGGAGCTGGCCACCCTGGGCCCCTCGCCGGCCGGCCACTTGCCTTCGATCCTCCTGAGCGCGGCGAGGCAGGCGTCCTCCCCGGGGAACTCGAAGGGGTTGCTGCAGGTCCGCACGGCGTCGCACTCGCACCGCCCGTTGATGATGTTGCAGCCCGAGACCAGGTTCTCGTTGCAGGGCTCGAAGTTCAGCAGCTGGTCCTCGTCCCAGTTCTCGTCTGAAAGGCAAGCGACAGCCACGTGAGGCCCGTGACAGCCACGTGAGGCCCGCGACAGACACACGCCCAGGCCCATCTGGGAGCCACAGGCAGGGCCGCCCGCGGGGACGCCTCCGTCTGACGTGGCTGCTCAGGGGAGCCGGGCACTGGTGGGGACACACAGGTGTGGCCTGGGGTCCTGACGAACAGGGCGGCCAACGCCAGGCCCACCGGGGTAGCCAGGTCGCACCAGCTGCGACCCCTGTGCATCCTTGCCCCTGGGCAGAGACACCCGCACGGTGAGGTGCCTGCTGCCACGGCGGAAGCCAACATCATAACGCCCCAATTCCCGTCCACGCAGCGCAGGCCGGAGGGTCCAGGCTCACGGCAGCTCTTGTCCTGCACATGAGGGGTCGCCAGCTGGAACCCCGCCCACGTGGCCCCGAAAGCTGCATCAGACCACGGGGTCCAGCAGAGAACGGGGGCGGGGTCCCTGTGCTACACCCCCTCCCAGCAGCACCTGGGTGGTCCCCGTCTTAATTAGCGAAACAGATGCCCACACGCAGCTCCTGCTGGACACGGCCCTGCAAATGTCGCGTGAGCGGAGGAGCACGGAGGGCCGTGGCCAGGCACTGGTGACCTCACACGCAGGCAGGCAGGCACAGGCAGCGTATGTCTGGCCCTCCCGGCTCACCCCCAGAGCTGCGGTGTGTGTGGGGGCGGTAGGCTGTGGGATCCCACGTCAGGCCCCGGAGACGTGCAGGGCGCAGGAGCAGGGCAGTGCTGAGAAGGGCAACGGGCCCCCTCACGGCTGCACTGCCCCTGAGGCCCAGGGACCCGGTGACGGCTCCACCTCAAGGCGCCCCTCGCCCTAAACCTCATCCCACCCTGTGCTCTGAGGCGGGAGTGACACCATGGCGTTACAGCGTGGGCGCCACATGCGCACATGCACACAGACACAGACACACACAGACACAGACACATACCCAAACACACACAGACATACGCACAGACACACACAGGCACACACAGACACACACAAAGGCACACACACAGACACACACACACAGGCACACGCAAAGACACACAGACACACACACAGGCACACGCACAGACGAACAGACACACACAGAGACACCCACACACACACGCAGGCACACGCACAGACACACACCCGGACACACACAGAGACATATGCACAGACACACACAGACACAGACACACACACAGGCACACACAGACACACACCCACACAGACATATGCACAGACACAAGACATACACATGCACATACATAGACACAGACACACATATAGACACATACACAGACACACATATATACACACAGACACACATACGTACGCACACAGACACACATACGTACGCACACAGACACACGGATACAGACAGACACACACACGTGCTGATGTGCTGTGAGACAGGGAGAAGGCTCTGGGTCCCAGACCAGCCCCCGTCGCAGTGAGGACGCTTTAGAAGATGGTGTCGGCAACATGAGGGCTGAGGGGAGACACTTGAAAGGGGAGACCCCCCCACGTCAGCACCCCGCCTGAGCTACTGCATGTCTGAAGGGCTGACCCGCCTCAGAAGGGGGAACAAAGCCAACATTTATCTGCCTTAATAATCTTGTTCCGCAGACGGCCCCTCTGTCCTGAGAAGTAACACATGGTGTGTAACTGACACACACACACACACACACACACACACACACACACACACACACACAGAGGCATATTCCCCTCCTGACGGCAACTGTGAAGTCTCTAAGTGACTCTGAAAAGAAACCGAAAAGCGAAACTATTGAAAGCAGCCAACACAGAAGGGGCGGCTGAACCACCTGAGCAGACGGCGTGGCAGCATCTGGAGATTTCTTATCGCTCTTTAATTGTTGCAGGTTCTTCGACCTCCAGCCGAGGCCAGCTCAGCGCAACAGCCCGTGAAGGAGCCTGTGTCACCGGGCATTCACTCTGTCACTTGGTCCAGCCCCAGCTGCTGAGCAAGTCGTAAGAAACCCTGATAACGTCTGAAGCTCCGAGGAGACGGTTCCCGGCGGGAAGACGCCACAGGGGCCGTCCTCACAGCCGGGGGGAGCGTGGGCTCACCCACCCAGGGCTTCTGCTAAGGACGAGGGCAGCTCCAGTGGTGGGGGCAGGGCCGTGAGCAGGTGGGGGCTGACACGGAATGAGGCGTCCAACTCAGGGCCTGCGTGTGCAAGGCGTGTGCTCTGGCCGAGTCATATCCAAGCCCCACCAGACTGCACGTAACACGCTTCCCCGCAGCCGGGGCTCTCCCCAACTCTCCGGCTCTCTTCTCTCCTGGCCGTGTACCCTGCAGCCCAACGCCTGTTTCTCGCTCGGCGTACAGACGGGCTCCGTGCTCTCCTCGGCCCCTGGAGACGCCCGCTACATTTCACGGTGACTCCCACGGGGCTTCCCGGGCCATGCAGCCACCGCTCCACACCTCAGCCCTGCACAGGCCTCGCTCGCGCCCCCGGATCCCCGCCAGGCTTGCCGAGTGTCCCCACGCTCCTGGCCACAATGCTGGGGTCTCCGGTCCCATCCCCGTGCCCGCCGCCCTGCCTGCCAGACAGCGCCCCTGCGTCCAGAAGCCTGACTGGGAGAATCTCCCGACCCCGCGCCAGGCTGTCTTCACTGGGGCACCCCGGGGGGGTTGGGGGGGTGGGCTGAGTTTCCCTCCTCACCCCGAGCAGAATCCCGGCAGCTGAAAACCTCCGAAACCCACAGCTGTGCTCAAGGCCACTCTCCACACGCATGGACAAGCCTCACACATGAGGGAACCGGCAGAGGAACCCAGGCATGCGGGACCCGGGGCTGAGATCTCCAAGCCTGCTCGGATCGGGACTGGGCCTCCTCCACCCAGGTTCCCCATCTTCCGGTAGCCAGGCAGTCACGCACACACTGTCCCTCACCTCGGTCGGCGCCATGTAACCCCATCAACGGCCAAGATCCAGAGACTACAAAATAAAGCTCCCGGAAGAGAGCGACAAAGAATCTCCCGACCCCGCGTCAGGCTGTCTTCACCGGGCACCCTCGGAGGGGAGCGGGTTGAGTTTCCCTCCCTGCCCCAAGCAGAGCCCCGGCAGCCGAAAATCTCCAGAACCCAGCCACAGCCACGCTCAAGGCCTCTCTCCAGGCAGGGGAGCGGCAGCACAGCGGGGAGGGCGTTTGCCCTGCATGAGGCAGAGCTGGGTTTGAGTCCCAGCACCCATGCGGTCCTCCGAGCACCGCCAGGCCCACCCGACTCAGGCAAAGGCCATGGCCCTCACTGCCCAAGCCAAGCACCAGACGTGTCCTAGCCGACGAGCTCCCTGGCGAGCACTGCCCCACGGAATCCCATCCAACAGGCCCTCTGGGCCGACAGCCCCGGGACAGACAAGTGTTCTGTGGCCACAGAACATGGTAGGCGGGACCAAGAGTGGTCAGATCCAACCCCTGTGCCCGCCGGGCCTGCTGGTCTCCTGGCCCCTTTCCCATCTCAGCCACCTCTAAGGCACAAGGGCCGAGGTCTCCTTCTCCCACGGGGGTCCCCCACGCTGGCTCTGCGGGCCTGAGTACACAAGCTCCCACCTGGCTCACGTCTCCATCGGGGGCGGCCTCCAGCCCGGGACCCTCCCACAGGGCAGGTGGAGCCCCCAGCCAGGCCCGCTGCAGATGCTCCCCAAGCCTGACCCGTCCGTGAGACGCCCACCCCGGCGAGGGCTTGCTCATCAGATGGAAGAACAAGGCGTTTCCTGCCTGGAAGAGCACGCATGTGTGGGCCAACAGGCGTGCGGCCCAACACTTGCGTGGCCCAACACATGCACGGCCCAAGCCCACACATGGGGTCCAACATACACGCGCTCCAACATGCGTGTGGTCCTACAAACACACAGCCCAACACACGTGCAGTCGAACACGCGTGTGCTCCGTGGAAGGCTGCCATCCCATGAAAGTTTTGGAGGTTCCCAGGCAGGTGGCCATCCCCGTCACCCCATGCCCGGGTCAAAGGGGTCCCCCAGGGTGGACAGCGACTTCGAAGCGCTTGTTCTCACCTGGCCCCCGGGCCCTGTGACTCCCGCACGGCACGCAGACGCACCCGCTCCAGAGCTGGGGGTCGGCTTGCCTGGCGGGTCTCAGAGATGCCCAAGGGCGGCCTGCAGGGCCAGTGGGCAGCGACACGGACCCAAGAAGCAGGGGAGGGAACTGCGGCATGAGGCGTCTGCCCAGAGCAGGACGCCCCTGCCCCAACCCTGACCCCAGGAGTGATCCCCGAGCAGCCGGGTGAGGCCCCCAGCCCCAAGCGAAGACCAAACAGGTGCCAGGGAAGAGGCAGGAGGCACTGGGTGTGGCCGGCACAGACCCTTTCCCGAGGCCGAGCCAGACGGAGCCTGGGGGCGGGATGGACAGACCAGCAGCACACTTCCTTCCTCCCTCCAGGGGGCGCCACAGGCTGGGGTGCAGAGGGGGTCACAGGGCCAGAGCCCAGGGCGTCTCTGGGGGACCCTCCTGCACTGCCAGCCCCCTCTGACCCCGCACGGCTCCTGGGTCTGTCCCCTCTGCCCTCAGGCACCACCTTCCACCAGCCTGCGGTGTCCCCGGGTGGCTGGGGCGGTGGTCAGCGTGTGGAACTGTCCCTGCTGGGCAGGAAGCCTGGGCGCCTGCAGCCGGCCCAGGCCCGTGCACTCGAAGGCTCACCGGGGAGAAGGGGCTCGGCTGGTCCGAGACCCCCCTGCTGCCTCCTGAGGGCGGGGGGGGCAGACTCCCTCTGCAGTGCTCACAGCCCCACGGCCTCCACAGAAGCACAGCTGCTCAGGGAGATGCCAACAGGAGGCGGGAGTGCTGCCTGCAGCTGCCTGGCTGGCTGTGCACTCGGGGGGCTCCCCCGACTGCAATCAGTGCCCACCCTCAGCTCTGGGCAGGCTGAGGCCCCGGGGCCCCAGGGGCGGCCCCTCCTCCCCTCCCCCTGTGTGGAGGCAGGAAGGGCCCCGCAGAGATGGGATGGGCA